AGCAGCATACTGGGTGCCGGGGATGGCCTCGGGATCGTAGGCGACGACGGCGACGTAGTTGCGGCGGCCCATGAGCTTCTTGAGGTCGCGCGGGCTGCCGCTGGCGTCGGTGTGGAAGATCTCCATCATGTCCTCCTTCGTGTCGGACAGCGCGTCCGCGCCGCCCGACTTCTGCCCGTTGGGCGGCACGTAGTACGTCTTGTTGCTGTGTAGCATCTTCAGAATGTAGTTCGCCGCCGGCGCCGCCACGATCGGCGACGTGATGATCTGGTACATCGTCTTGTGGTCGCTGGGGTGCGACGGGTCGTGGACTAGGCCTGCACCTGCGGCGTTGACATCTATACGGGGTGGTTAGTTACTTGTGCCGCAGAGGTAAAGTTTTTGGCGAGGAGGGGAGTAGGACAACACCCAAAGGAAATTATGTGAAACTCACCTCCTGACAAGAAAGTCATACGGATCCCCTTTTGATGGGCGATACCCTGTAGCGTCCGGATCAGGTACGTGCGCTCAAGGTCCTTGGTATCATGCGTCCACATATCCTTCAGAATCTCGCCGATGTCGAGATCGCCGAACTGGTTAACGACATTGCCCATGAGACCCGACTTGCCAACGGCCCTCTTCACCTGGTTAAAGCCCGACGCCACCACCTCCTTACCGCCCACGATGCCGGCTACCGAGCTAGTGACTTTTCCCAGCACGTTGTATCCCGCGTTCACGGCCTTCTTACCCGTCGCGAACGTGTTGGCCAAGCTTTCCATCGTGTCCAGACGCGGGTAGATAAGAGGCACTGAGATCATCCAGATGCAGTGCTGGACGCTTGGGGGGAGCATGGCGACCTTGGGGAACAACCCCTGGTACGTGGGGCCGGCGAGCACCCGGTTCTGTGTCCGCTCAGAACGCAGGTCGACGCCTACAACTACAACAGCAGGGCCGAGGTACTTCACAAAATGCCAGCCTTGTCCCGTGATGGTGAAGAGGTCAAGATCGTGACTAACGTTGCGGAGAATCTCTAGTGTGGTGTGATGCTGGAACAGCAGATACATGTCCACTGCTATCCGCCCGATGTTCTTGACCACTTGAGAGTTCTGCATGTAGTCTGGGTACGATCCATAGCCGTCAAAGCTGCCATTTTATTAGTCTAAGATTTCCTACGATGGCTTTGGGGGGGGGAACTCACATATCATGGTCGTCAATCTGGCAGATGTGAGGGATCTGGGCAAACGCCTCACGCAGGAAAGGCTGATCGAAGTGGCTTGTATAGAAATGGAAATAGGCGTGGGTGACATCCTCCTCGTGGCGTGCCGTCCACGAAGCATTCTTTCGATTCTCCTTGCCGGGCGTCGCCAGCCATTGCTTGAGAAGCGGCACTTCCTTCCACAGCCTGTCTCCGTATATCTGGTCGCCGAGACCAAGTTGCACATGGAACCCTCCGCAGTCTACATTCTTCTGCAGGACGTCTTTCCACATGAACCCGAGGCCGCCTAGTTTACTACGCTCGCTCTGTGACGTGCTCGCGGCGAAATCATTACCAGAATGTGCCACGAAGCGCCAGCCGGTCTCGGTCCGCCCTGCCACAACAAATTCGTAACGAGTGCATCCTAGATGAGACGTGACGGCGTACGTCCACCTCTCAGTCGCCTCCGCCATCTGCAGATCGACATCGTATTTATAAAATTGCCATCTCTGGTGCGTGTATATGGAACGGGGTACGAGCTGACGGGGGTTGGGTGATAAGTCCATGCTTTGATGGATGTGGATGGTGGGCGGCTGAGGGGCATCGGTGACGATCATGATGCTACCCAGCCACATGCCTTTCTCGACGTCCATGTTGACATAGCGCAAATAGGGGCCAAAATACACACCATTAGTAGGATGGACTTTATACATGTCTACACCTGCTCCGGGAGGCGGGCCTGAAAACCCGGCAGCGGTGGGTGTCGCGGTCGCCACACTCATGATACTCTCGGCGTACCCAGGCGTCTGCGGAGGGAACATAGGCGAGGCCATGGCGCTTTGCTTGCCGAACATGGGTGATGCCAAGGGGTTGCCGTATGTTGAGGCAGTCGGGGATAGAGGAGCCACATCATGGTGGATAGGGTTTGGTCCCTTCGGGAACTCCCACTGTGTAGCCTGTGTGGCGAGGTGGATATAGTAGTACTGGCCTGAGTTCTGATCAAGATGGGCAATCCAGCCCTCAGGTAACGGCGGAGGAGACGTGGGCCCCTGGCCGTTCTGGAATGGCGATGGGGTGTGAAGGACGGTGGCCGCGGCCGCGGCGCCAGCTGCAGCACCAGCAGTAACAGCGGCTGCTTGTGCCTGTTGTCCACTTGGCTGACTTTCAGGCCGGGGATCGTTAGCAAAAGCAGGGTGGCCAGGGTGCTGCAGAGCAGGAGATGTCAGTCCGGCTGCAATCTCGTTTGCCTTCTTCGGCGGCGGCGATGCCGCGTTGGCTTGTGCTTGCGCTTGTGCTGGAGCAGGGCCTGCGGCCGCCGGTCCCGCTCCCGGTCGTTGTTTCTCGGCCGGATATCCAGAGGGAGCCCCGCTGGGTGTGATGCTGGAATAGGCCGGCGGCGGGCTGGGCGACATCTGCATACGCTGGAAGTCTTGCTCCAGGACGCTGACTTGGAGGGCAGGCCCGCCCGCCGCATTTGAGTTTTGGGGCGCATTAGCGTTAGGCGGACGAGTAGCCTGAGGGCTGAATGTGGCCGCAGTTGGACTGGTCACGGGATTCGCCCCCTGATACACGGTGGGAGGGCCGTGTGGCTGCTGGTCCGGAGTCTCCGTCGGTGTCCACGGCCGGATGGGTTGCGGAGTTGCTGGATGCTGTCCGTACTGCGCTAAACGCTGGCTTGCCGCCGCGCTTTGGAAGCTGTTCAGCGTCGCAGTGCCCGATATCCCCGCCGCAGCATACCGCGCTTCGATGCCGCCACCGGGGATGTTGCCCGGCTCGACGATGGGAGTTTCGGGCGGCGGCGGAGACCCCCTATTCGCCCTCGTCGTCGAGGTCGACGCCGTCGATGCGAAGCGATTCACCCCGCTGTCTTCTGGCATCTTGAGATAGCTGTCTGGAGTCGGTTGTTGGGGGCGCGCATTACTGGTTGAGCCCGAGCTCGAGCCGGCCGAGCTCCCACGCGGGGGCGGATAGTACGGTTTCTGGTGGTAGTCGGGGAAGGACGTGGCCGCGACGGCGGCGGCAGGCTTCTGCTGGTGCGACAGAGGCTTCGCGAATAGTTCGTTGTCATCCGCGTGGGGACTCGAAGGGCTCAGAGCTCCCGGCAGCGGTTTCGGGGCCGTACCTCGACGCTCAGCAAGGCCAGGGCCCCTCTTCTCGATGGGACTCGTATCGAGTCGGGGCGTAGTGTCGTTCAGACGAGCCGAGCTACTTGAGCCGGTCGGGCTGGTATATATCTTGCCGGCGGACGGTTTCCGGTCGTCGCTGGCGAAGGAGGGCCGGCTGGACTGGGAGGACTGGCCTATCCGGAGATCGTCGTCATCGGGGTAAGGGAGGGGTGCGGCGGAGCTCGAGGCGCCTGGCGGCAACGGGAAGCTGGGCTTGGAGGCCACCGGGGCAGGGTACTTGAAGCGATCCGAGGCCTTGTCGGCGGCAGGCTTGGGGCTCAGGGGCTTGAATATCCTCAAGGGCTCGACGGTTGGGCTGTCGCAGTCCTCGGCGGGTTTGTTGAGGAACATCTCCTCGTCGGGCCGCCCATGGTGGTCCATGTTTCGGGTTTCGCAGCGCAGCGCAGCGATGCGATACACAGGAGGAACGGTTCCAAAGGGCACCAGGGGTACCTTGAACAGGGCGCACAATGACGCACAGCACACAAGGAGACCAGTCAGTCAGTCAGCCAGCCAACAATAGCTAGCAATAACCTTGGAGCTTCGACTTGTCGCGGTTGGGTTGTCGGACGGTGGCCTAAAGGGCGGCCTGGTGGCCTGCCTTATCGCGACTTAGACTTGGTGGCGTGGTGGGGAAAAGCGCAGGGAGGGGAGGGCAGACTGAGGCCGCTCGCACTGCCGAAGCTGACAGTCGGCGTCCACTCGCAGTGACTAAGTTGTCGCTTGGTGTCGCAAGGCTTGGGATGAGTTGCTACAAGCGAAAGCAGATGAAACAAGAAGTCCAAGGGGAGACGCGTCGAGAATAGAAAAAAAAAAGAGGCTGATGGTTACTTGGGTAGAGACTATCTACCAGTGGCTGCCCGCACCACATGCATACATACCATACATACAGACCACATGCTGCTGCTGTTATCTCGATAACTAGCGCGAGAGGGCAGAGCGGCAGAGCAGCGGAGGAGACATTCGCGGGGCACAATGCAAGGGAGGCTACTTAGCGCGGGTCCGTCCTATCACCAGTTTGGGACCTACTCCTTCACCCCTGGCGACCGGTCCCAACAGGCCTCATGATTGGCCTCGGGCAGTGGGCGCTTAGACTGGAAAATACCTAATGGGATCAAGCAAACTAGATGTCGAAGCGCCCTCCAATAGCCAGCGAGGTTGAGGATAGCATCCTAGCACGACACGGGTATCGGCTCTCTCTTACATTCTCATCAGAGCATCACACTCATGAGCCACCACAGCGTGCATACGACGATTACGCGTACGACGACGATGAAGACCGGAACGGCGAGGCACGTATCTCGCGCTCACATAATCGAGCCCGTACATACAACACCACATGCCGCTCATTCCTAGTGCACGCTAGCCGTGTCATCACGAGTCCAAGTTAGGATCTCTCCTTGAGGGACCGAATAGGTATTTCGGTGACGAGTCCAGTATTTGTCTAATACGCACGCGTGCACTGCTTGGAACCACAAAGCCGATGCAGTGTGGATTCGTTCCCTACCTATCTAGGTTAGGTAGCCCAGATGGCACGATCGACTATTGGTGCATGTTGGGATGTCTGGCGGTTATGTGCAGTGACTCGACAGAGGCGGCGCTTTATTTATTATGCGAGAGCAGCCGGGAACAGAAAAAAAATCATGGAAAACAGCAAAAATCTCCCCGGGAAAGGCTCGAACTTTCAACCTCCTGATTAACAGTCACTAGTTAGAGTATTGTTAGACACTATATCGTAATAGTCTATACCATGTTGGATAACTTACGACGCGCTAGCCAATTGCGCCACCGAGGACAATTGGTGATTGTTGGACACCAACTCACAGTGTCACCAGAGGACTGTTGCCGTATTCATGAATGGGATACCCAACATGGAGCAGGCACTCTCTCTCCACAGCGCGCAGGGGCATAATATGGGGGAGGTAAGGATGGTAAGGATTCGCATTTCTAGCCTGCAGTGGGATGTACAGAATACCTGCCGATATGCAGTGCTGTATGCAGGTAGGTAGTGCAGCGCCGCCATGCGAGTCAGGGGGGGCGGCATTGGGGTCAGATTCTCGGGTAGACCCGAGCAGCGTTAAATTGCTTGAGGGCATATCCATTTGCTGAAAGCCAATCAGATCTCCATCTTGGACCTACCCACACGGCAACATACAGTACCTACTATATTTAAGAAATATTTATGATTATGTAGTATACCCCTTACTGGTCACTCAATTCTGCATTCGGTGGTGAAGCCATAGAATGAATCTGCGATGGGGAGGAAGTAGTCGGGAAAAAAAAGACTGTGGCGGCACACGGTGGCGCATATCATCCACCGTGATAGCTTCCAGGCGACTCTTTCGCTACGCTTCATATCGCCGCCCCTTGATAAGGTTTAAGACATGGTAGAGGGCTCTTTCTCAGCTCATCCTACTCGGGCATCCCCCCTCGAAACCTAGAGATGGCCCGGAGCTATTAAATAAGGAAGGTCCTTACTACGTACGAAGCAAGTCAGCATGTGATTCGGTCAGTGGCCTTCAAATATATTATCGCGTTTTACATTATATGAGACGGGTGAGCTACTTGCTATCCCGTTCAGCGCCTAGTTTTGAGCTTAGCTCAGTTTTCTATTAATATGATATTATTTACGGTCGCTATGAAGCTCGTAGAGCCGTTTCTATTTAAGCTTGAGTGCTCGCTTACTCTACACTCATCGCAAAGCTACTCAATGGCCTATCAAAGAACATCAAATAGTCGCATGCGAAGGCTTACAGAAGCCCAGTTTGAGTTTCCTATCGGCCTCGTTCATGGGGGGATGCCCGGAACAACAAAACTGCAACTCTATACGACAACACTACCCAAAAGTAGAACGTTGTGAAGATTGGGAAACCTTGACCGTTTGCAGTTGTTTATGGGACCGTGACAGGGAGAACCTACTGTGCTCCTAAAAGGAATTGGTGGACTTACAAGATGTTATGATCATTATATCGCATCTATTAGGAACCTTTCTGCTATTAGGCGCAATACAGGCGACTATCCAGGACTCGAGCATGCCTTCCCTCTGCCACACTCGGCGCCAACATATGATAGTACATAGAATCGACGGGCCTATGATCAGCCCAATATCATTCGGGAATGGGACTACGATAAATATACTCGATAAGGACCAAGGTAGGTATTATGAGACGGAGTGGAAGTAAACCGCGCCTCCATAGTTGGTTGCTGATAGATTCACTTATACTTAGTAATATACGCCGGTCAGCTTCACGGCCTGGCTCGACTCCATTTCCCCCTCACGCCAGGAAGGATCTTGAGCTTCTCGAATGTTTTCAGAAGAACTCGTTCCATCCGCGACTAAGGCCGATCCCATATAGAACAGTAATTATTAATCATTGGGGAATACCGTATATTGATCGTTCACTTTACACGAAGAAGCCTAATTCTAAAGCACGCGGATTTCCCTGATTAACACTTCCAATATCACTATGGAGACGATATCGGGACTGAACCAGTCCGTATTTTTTTCACGTGGGTGCCCGAAATCGTCTCGTGTGGTTTGTGAGGCGTTTCGTTCGTGACGCCTCGGGTGATATTAGACCTAAGAGCCGCACCATGTGCCCCAAGCCGCTCCTCGGGGAGTCACATGGATCCTAGCGTTGATCACGCAATTCTGGACGGGGGAGTGCACCTATCTATATACAGGTCACTCTACTCATATCTGTGCCGTGTGCCGCCAACTAAGGCTTGTGACGTTTTCTTGTCCGCTTTACTTAGATCCGTAGACAACGTTCTCAAGAATTAAACACATCTTTCCCCATGCGTGGCATGCTCTGGCCCTATCATAATTTCTGCTATTACTTCCCACCGGGGCCAGCGAAAGCTGGTGCCCTGGAAGTTCGCTTTCACGAGTCCCATTTTGTGCGATGTCGATCTCACTTAGGGTGAACATGACTTGGACATCGAAGTAAGCCCCGAGGTGGCACTCCTCGGACTGCCCACTCAAAATTCACCACGAACGATATCTATCCCTTTCAGGTTTCTCGAAGATGCCTACAGTATGAGGAAAGGAGTACACTCGGCGCCCACAAACATAACTCATTGGTAGTATCTGGCTCATCGTGTCCCATATAGACAGTCACATCGTGGCCAAGGAGACTTTCATGCCCAATCCGACTAGACTACGGTTATGGAAAGGTACAACATGGATCCCTATCAACGAGTTATCTTGACAATTTTCAAGTGATAGGGCTATCATTTAAAGTACAACTAAAAAGTGACAAGGCGATAAATCCCCGAGAAAAGAAAAAAGGGAGAAAAACTAGCTCTTAAATTTTTCTAGACGAAAAAAAGAAAATTCTTCAGTAGTATTAATATGTATCTTACATGGAATAGAAAAATCTTCATAGTTTCACCAACTGTCTCAGTTAGCCGACATGATTGATTTTATCTGGGTAACCACCTGCACCTTCACGTTCACCTGGAATGCATTAACTGAAGCGAACCATCCCTTGTCTAGACTCGGAGGAAAACTACATACCCAGTACAAGCAGGTCTACAATTCGACCACTCTATCTATCCATCATGCACTGTTCGGTACTTAGTTACTCATGGCTAGTCGTTATACCACGGAATCCAGATAGTCATAGTTGTCGTGGCATGGTCATGTAATTGGTTACTGGCTTAGCTATGCACATTGAAAAGCCATGCCAACGTATTTCTGAGGCCCGGCCACGAGCATAGACATGATTGCCTTGATTGCTTTTCTGTGTGATTCAAAACTGAGATAAGGGACTGGCCTATAGTGATGCTAGTACTAAGTACAGCGTCCATTAGTCGAACGCTTTGTTTCAGTCTTCTAAGGGTGATTGGGTGACTCGCAATGGTAGCACCACGAGTTTCACAACCGAAGCAGGTCACCCTTGCTCACCCTCTGCATAATCCCGAGGTCATTCACCCTCCCATGTACGTGGGTTGATTGGGTAAGTTTTTGGTATGAGCCATACAACCGGCACACCTATGAGGTAATAAGACGACTATGCAGCATGGCCGACCTGGCATATACCCAAAATGGCCTTGAGAGCGGAGGGTGAAGCACAATGACGTTTTCCTTGGCTGGATTCTGCGTCCTTCTTAAGGCATTAGGTCTCACAAAGCTGCCTGACTGTCTAGCCAACCGTAGCCACCCTTACATCCGATAATCGCCGTTAGGGGTGGCGCTGGACCTGGTATCCACGTGGATGCCCTGCCCTTGATAGGGTCTTGGACCTAATGGTTGCTGCTCTCCGAAAGACTGGGTATGGCCCGAGTTCCAATACCAAGATCAAGTGCTAAATAGATATCCAGGAGCCTCATCTATTTGCCCGGGTAACTAGTGACGACCGCCATCGGTGTTAATGGTAGGAGAGGGGCTTCAATTCGTACCACATAAATCGTATACCTATGCCCTGACCGCTTTCTCAAGGGCGAAGCAAGGTCTTACAAATACGCTAAATCCAAGCCTAGATCCCTCAACACGATCATAATGAGTGTATTGCTTCGTAACACGGCCCGTAGCGAAATTCGTTGTTCGGTAGTGGAGCATCCCTAGCTATGATGACGGTGCACCGAGTACTACAACATTATTCCTTAACCATGCCTCTGGGAGTTGAGGGATTACGCTACCTTCACTTTCAAGGTACAACGGCTAGTCAATATTATACTTAACCGTGCACTGATCCAATGACCCGAAAACGAGAGGGGTAGCCTCGTTGCGGCCCGTTGCATAACTTAATATGGGGTAGGAGATCTCGTACGAAGAACAAAATGATTTCCCGATTCACGTAGAAGCACCCTAAACCAATGTAGTGTAACCTGTTAATAAATGGGGAAGGGGGGTACGCAGACGTCCAACTCTTCAAACGCCCATACCGGCCGATTGCTCAATGCCAGAACACCACCCCCTTACAGCACGCAGATCAGTAGATGCACGATGAGGAGCGTCAGTACCCTGTTTTGTACCAGGTCAAAGACATGGATATAAAACCATCATTTTTCCGTTCTAGATAGCGGGCCTATAGTACTTAGTCGGCACGACTATTTTTACCCTCTCAATCAAGCCTCCTAAAGGTAGATCAAGTAGCCTTTGCTCTCTACATTATACAACCAAAGCAGCCATGCAGATCAACCATTGTCTACACTGCCAAGCACAGACTCCCGATTACGAGGATCTGAAATGCTCCAGTTGCGGTTTCCATCCATGGACCGCATGCGATCATCCGGATTGCAGCAGGCTGCCGCCTGTCAAGCACGAGCCGAAGTAAGTCTTCTGACTGAGCTTCAGGATTAAATGCTAATTTGCGTCATAGGCCGTTCCCATCAAAACCCCGTAATAGACCTACCCCAAAACCTAGCCCAGAACCTAGCCGAGAACCCAGCCCAGAGCCCAGCAAGAACTAGCTGACGGTCTGTGCTCTGAGTCATGCAGGGACTGTCGTAACTTAGGGAGGGCTGCAAAGGGAAGCAGCTAGGACCTGCTTACATGATAAAACCACTCGTTAGGCATATTGATGTCGCTTAGTGAACACTACCAGGCCATTGGCAGGCTTTCTGGGAATAACAAGGAGCCATAAATCACTGGGGTTTTGATGAGAGCAGCATAGGAAATCATTACCATGCATAACAGATTATGAGAGAAATAAAGCAATAATAAGGAAGTGTCCTCTAGCTGTCTTGTTCTCGCGACTAATTCAAGTAGGAAAGTTTGACTCTTACTAAAATCCCCCAGTGAATGATGAATGGCATGAAGCCATAATGAGGAGCTGACCTGGTGACTTA